TTTTTAACATATTTTACCTGATGAAGAAGCCAATGGAATTTAGAAAGTTTGCATGGTGTATTTTCTGCATTTTGGTTGGCCAATAAAGGTAGCACTCTTTTTGTTGTATTTTGCTATGTGGCCAACATGGTTGCCCTTGAATATTTTTACTTAATTCCAGTTAGTGATCAGATATTTAAAAGCTATAAGATGCTTCAGCGGATAAGAACTTACCAAAGACAAAAGACTTGGTCCCATCTATTTGTGACACAGTACAATCTTCACTTTTCCATGCCATTTGTACTTTATCTTCAAGGTCTTCATTTTCTCTTAAGAAACAAAATAATTTCCTGATCATTAGAGCATTTCTGGAAACATCTATTGTGCAAAAGAAATATCTTAGCCCCACAATAATCTCTGAGCAGCTTGGTTCCCCCACTCCAAATACTCATTGATATGATATTAGCAACCTTCGATTGTTAATCTTTTGGAAATGCCCAAGACGGATCATACCCCAAGCTATGCAAGCTATCTGGAGACACAACAGTCTGAATATATTGCAGAGTACATCTCAGTGGGGAACATTTAATGCAATCCATCTCCAAATGGGGTGCAAATGGTCATTGGAAGGAAGTGCTATGAAGAAGGATAAACCAAGCTGTTTTCCCATTTATAGATACCAACTAAGCTGGCAGCTGAATTTTAGTTAAGTGCTGGCTGTCTCTACCTTAGATAACTTTTTCTATGCAATTTATGTCATTTACAGCATTTGTACAAGAATCTTTCTCACAAATTCAAATACTCTTGAGCCTGAATAACTTGCCTGTCTTACAAGTGTGGATGCATCTATACTATAGAAATAATTTTTAAATGTTTTTTAAACATTGTATATACATTTTAATGATTTGTATTGTTTTTAACTTGTACTGTTATACATTTTGTTAGCTGCCTTTACTCCCTATATCAGGAGAAAGGCAGCCTATAAATAAATAAAATAATGATAATAATAGAAATAATGCAAAGTGATACCAAGTGCTGTAGATACATCCTAGGAAACCCTGGGATTTACAATTTTACAATATTCTTTGCCAAAGACTGCTGGTGCCTCACATAAATAAGGACCAAGAAGAACTTCTGTTGTTGTTAACTGTCCTCAAGTTGATCTCGACCCATGGTTGACCCTATGGATGAGACATCTCCAAGAAGACCCTCTGTCCTCCCCTGCTCTGCTTAATTCCTGCAACCCCTTAATACCCGTGACATCCTTAATAGAGTCCATCCATTTGGCATGTGGCCTTCCTTTCTTCCTACTTCCCTCTACCTTTCCCAGTATTACTGTTTTTTCCAAAGAGTCCTCCCTTCTCAGGATGTGTCTGAAGTATGGCAGTCTCAGTTTGGTCATCTTGATTTCCAGGGAGGTTTCTGGTTTGATCTACTCTAGGACCCACTTGTTTGT